TTCGTGTTTTTGCAGAATGCCAGGACGGATCATAACAAGGAAACCGGCAAAACCTGCTAACGCTGGAACGCTGCCACCGTCAGTATGCTCCAGTTGGCCAGAGAAGCAGTCCCTCGGCTGATACGAATCTTCAGGGATATGCTGTCTGATAATGCCACCACCTAACTTTACCTACCTATCATAATTATACAGTAGGTGAGCTAACTCATAAAATGTCAACTGAAATTCCAAAATTCGTTTCCGTTTCGAAAAGATTAATTAAGTAGAGTTGTAAACCTAATCGGTTTGCAGTATAATTAATTCAGTTACCTCGAAAGAATTTCCTTCCGGCCGCATGCAAAAACTATGCTCCGTAAAAATGGCTACTTAAGTAGCATGCACTTTTCTCTTTGATTTTCGACGTCCGCAAGAGTCCATGGAAAACATGCATAAAAACATTCATTCTTCAGTTTATTCGGTAGAAAATTTGGTCTTCTTTCAATTTCATACTCGAAGGAAGGATATTACTCGGTTTTTAAAAACTTTTTCAATTCCCCATCATTTTGAACCCGCTCTGCCGTCAAACTTGCATTCAGGGTTTACAAACTACAAGCCATGTATTTCCGCGTACAGAAAACCACACGTTTCTCTACAGTATTAAGAGGAGACCATATGGGGTTCATAAAATTTAGCATTGGATTTGACCCATATTGTCAACTTTACAAGCCACATTGGTAAATACAGAGACATGACGTTTTATGAACGGCCATTTCACAGCATTAAAGTCTCACAATTAGAAACTTTTTTAAAACCGAATTACGTCCCTCCTTCGAGTATCCAATTGGAAGACGTAATTTTCTACCGAATGAGCGAAAGAATGAATATTTTTATGCATGTTTTTCATGAACTATAATTGGACTCTTACGGACGTCGAAAATCAAAGAGAAATATGCATGTCACCTAAGTAGTCATTTTTACAGAGTATAGTTTTTGCATTCAGTCGGAAGAAATTTCCTGCGAAAGCCGGCATCCTGAGGTTACTGAATTATTCTTGAATTATACTGCAGACTGATTAGTTTTACAACACCACTTATTTAATCTTTCGGAAACGAAAACGCATTTTGGAATTTCAGTTGACATTTCATGAGTTAGCCCACCTACTGTATGTACTATAAATGCGCATCCTCCCATTCAAGCGGACTATAGACATTAAATGAGATTTACTTTCAGGCGCACTGTCCCACCGCCAGCAATGGGAAAAGAAAGCGACCAACAGTACAATAACTTTGCCCAGTTAATCGTTCTTGGCACTCATTCACAAATCTTGGTCTCTTGTAAGCTTCGGTGCATGCAAAGTGTGACAAGAGGAAATAAGTCAATGGAGCGTTCTGGGTGATTAGAACGAATGCCCATTAATTACTTGTACCTTTACCGAGAATCAGGGGAGATCTGGAGAGTTCATTTTTCCAAATGAGGTGAAAACCCTGGTGTCAATTGGACATCCTGGCATCTAAAATCCATTGGCAATAAAACCATTGGAGTGAAGGGCTATGTGGGCTGTTTTGACTCTTTGAGGATTGAAAACGGAATCCAAAAAAACCTAGACGTACAATGAAATACAGGCGCACGCGTATGCATGCGCATACGGATTCCATCCCCAAAATTCTACACTAAAGCGGGAGAAGGAACGACATTAGCGAAGTTAATGTGAGATTCGACAAACGATCACCACATTTAAAAGGCAATTGGTGACGAAAAACGTAAAAGAGAGGTTGAGCTGAGTCCTGGGCAAATTAAGAATGTTCCATTTTTCCAAGAAGAACCCATCATGCTTCGGCTTTCGCTTGGGTAACAGGGAGGTAAAGTTTGAACTCAGCCGGAAGCTCAGATTCCTTGTAGAGACGATCGCTGAAGAATATCCTCCGCAGACGACAATTGGCGTGAACCTTAAAAAACAACAATGGCTGTTTACATCATGCGCTGGAACGGAAAAGCATGAGCACTTTGCGGATGAATAGGAGTTACAGCCGCCTAGTAAAACCTTCAGAGTAACGAAAGACAATATGTTTTGGAGTTACACTTTTTATAGGCAACCCTCATTAGCAAGAAAAGTGGGCAAGATGTGGTTAGGCAGTTCCACCTGATAGACGCAATACTGTTGGGGTTGGGGCTAGAGTCAGGGGGTAGAGTTAAGGCAACTATTTCTCAACCACTCAAGGTACAACCGCGCATTCCCAGTAGCTTTCCTTTTGCATACAACTACTTGACCTCGTCGCCTATGCGTTCCCCGGTTCCATCTGTAAAAACCCCCATTACCACCGATCGCGTATTACAGGTGGATGGCGTTTATCTACTTCAGGTGGGGCTAAATAACCACATCTGACCGAAAACTGAAGCGGTCAGCTCCGGAGAAATCAGTGGCATGGTGATTTACTGCTCTGATCCATTTAATTTCACTAATTACTGTTCCATTTTGCATTTTGGCTCCGATACGCCAACTGATAACGCGCAAAGTCCTACTCCATGGAAATCCTTCATTCTGTTTTCTTTATACGATCTTATTCTCCTCCCGCTCGCCCGTTTGAGGGTGGCTGATTACGAGAAGCCGCCATGAGACCGGAATGCGTCAACGTAACAGCATAGAGTGACTCCGATTTGTGCTGTCAATCGTGAACGGAGCACGTACCACAAGTCTGATAATCCAGCCGGTAAGTCCGATACAGACTTAAATCTAGGCAGAATGGCATTACCGGAAAAGGCAAGGGAGACTGGAATAGCCATTTCTGGCTTATAAGCCGTCGTCAGCCAGTCATACCCAACCCCACAGTGTGGAACACCCGAGACTCGAACTCGCGACCTGTTAATTAGAAGTCCAACGCCTCTAGCCACTGGGCCACGAGCCCGTTGACTTATATCTATACGTTTTCTGCAAAGAAGATGAACGCGCGATCACTGCGACAGTAGATGCATTAGCCTGACTCCAGGCGGCAAAAACCTTGAACTCGCATATCCGCCTCAATTGGTAAATCCCTTCTTTTATCAAGTAATTTAGACAATAGTATAGTGAAATACGAATCAAAAAACACCAACAGTTGATCCGATAATATCCCTAACCGGTGGTGCGAGGAGTCTCAACTGTCCCGTCTAGCAGACTTACTTCACCGTATTTTGCCGGCGGACGTATCGACGTCCTTATATGGTTGCATCAGCAAACGAGCTGATCATAGTCACATGTCCCAGTGATGCATCTGCCAAACTTGGCAAGGAGTACCACCACCCCGAGGAAGAGTGGTGACTGCCGGGAAAATTGATCAATGTGAAAGACGATTGTGCAGCACCAACCTCAACCTCTATTTTTCCGCTCATCACGTTTTGATAGCAAAACTATGGACGCAATGGTTGACCTTGCGTTTTTAACCCGTCTCCCAAGGGCCACCACACGTAGGGGTGGTGCAGCGGTGGCCGTAATGGTAGCCATCATCTAGAGTGTGGCTGCCAACAGAATCCATGTATCACTTGCTAATCGCGCGATATTTGTAGCACTATGAATAACAATGGAATAACGACGGTACACAATTTTTTGACTGAATAACAAAGTAAACTGGCCGGACAGTCTCATTGGGATGGCGGGTTGATAGATATTACAGGGTCTTCGCAAGCACACAGTTTTTGACGTTGTCATGGCGATTACAATGATCTGCCGTCAAAACTCAACCATTCCTCGAAACGACCGAATAAATTCTGCCTACCGTCCCTCTATGAAAATATACATATCACTAGCAGCAAGTGGACATGCCGATTTAAATCAAGTATGTAGGATAAGCCATTTAATTTGCTGAATCCGCGAGTTATGCGCTGGTATCTAGGGGGACTTTGCCTACGGTAGGGCGGGCAGTGATTGAAGTAGGCCAGCACTGTCATATAGATTCGGCGCCTGGTCCTTAGGTTTGAAAAACTTGCCAGATTTACGCCGCAACGTTTAAGTAGTATCGTGAAAAACACAATCAGGGCGATCAACCAGCTAAGGAGTACAGCGCCATGTAATTCAGACTTCCATGGGATTTCTTAAAACCTTCGTTAGTTTGAGCAGGGACGGCAGGAATGCTTAAAGAATCTACCTTCTTGAGTTGCGCCTTCCCAACTCGGTACATTAGTAGAAAAGTGTGCAGCCCAGAAAGTGCATGAATGGAGATAAAACTCTCGCATTATTATTAAACAGGTACAGGTAGTAAGTGTTGTCCGACGGGGCTGGTAATGACCTCCGCACTGTCCGCTGGCTGGAGCTTAATTCCAATGTGGTATCCAATCGAAGAAACGACGGTCAAGAAGTATTCCACCAGCCTTGTCAATCACAAGTCCGTGCCTTTCAGCGCTCGGCGTCGACAAATAACAGCGCAAACTATCGTTCTTGCGTTATATGCATAGTATGCAAGCGGTAGGGGTGTGGGGTGGAACGCCAAGGTGCGGGCTCGACCGTGCCATCCACCTGCGCCCTCCCCCGCCTCGGGTCTTCTGGACTCCATCTTGAAACCGGGCCCAGGTGGGGGAGGAGGTGAGAGTGTGGTGGATGCTGTGCAGATCTACACTCGCTATAAACTAATTCACGCACAAGTCACCGTCCCTGCTCTCGCCTCGCTGTGGAGCACACGGTGGAAATCGTCGGCAACGACGGTCGAACTGTGGGATGCAAGCAGGGTGTTGGGGCGTCCAGTTGTGGGTCCACGTGATGATCGTAACAGGTCGCCCACTTGCTTGCAGGTGTTGACTAAGCCTAACGTCCATTAACTGGCGGTTACTTTCACATGTGACACCCCGAAAATAAGCTCTCACTAGCGGGCACACCCTAGTAACCGCCTCAACCGGCGGGCTAGACCAGGTGAGGGTATCTGCGTGTACATTTGCCCTGTTTGTGGACAGCGCTGCCTATCCCCGCGAGGGGGATGAAGCTGGAAAAGGTGCCCTGAGCAAATGCTGAAATCATGTCTTCTTCGCGCAGATCGTGGCTGGCAAATGCAAAACACATGGTTAAAACAGCCAAAAACGAGACCATACCCTCTTCCCCCTCCACCTCCCCTTCGCCCCGCCTCAGGCTGGTAGGGTGAGTCCACTCACTCTGGCAGCCTGTAATGTTCGTTCCCTTTTAGACAATCCAAGGAGCAACCGACCGGAACGGAAGACAGCGCTAGTAGCTCGGGAACTGGTGCGCTACAAGGTGGACATCGCCGCACTCAGCGAGACTCGATTCTCCGAACAAGGCCAACTGGAGGAGATGGGTGCCGGCTACACCTTCTTCTGGGGCTGTCGCCCCAAAGCAGAGCGACGGGACGCGGGCGTCTCCCTTGCCATCCGGAACGACGTCGTGGGACGACTGCCCTATCGACGAGCCTGCGCCTGCTTCTCTGCGGAGGCATACTGGCGTCTGTGCTCTCCCCCCCCCCCCAATGACCAACCCTGACGTGACAGAGAACAAATTATACGGGGACCTACTCGCCCTCCTGGCGACTATGTCGACGGCGGAAAAGTTGATTGTCCTTGGTGACTTCAACTCCCGTGTCGGCACAGACCATGCCGCCTGGAGAGAAGTGCTGAGTCGCCACGGTATCGGCCGCCTAAATGACAATGACCTGCTTCTCCTACGAACCTGCGCAGAACACCGTCTTGTCTTGGCCAACGCCTTCTCCCGCCTTCCGATCCGGGGGAAGGCGGCCTGGATGTACCCTCGTTTGCGACAATGGCACCTGCTGGACTATATTCTCGTTGGAAGGCGAGACCAGCGGGACATGCTGGTGACAAGGATTATCCCGGGTGCCGACGGGTAGACCAACTACCGCCTCGTCCACTCTACGATGAGGATCTGCCTACAGCCACGCAGGAGATCTCAAGTTAAGCGATTCCCAGGTAAGCTGAATATTGCTTTGTTGTCTTTGTCTGTTCATCATCTCCATTTCGTCAACGAGCCAGCTCAACGACTAACCAACCGTCCAATCACCGCCGCCGTCGAGGACGCCTCAGTGGAGAACCGATGGTGCTAACTGACGGACTCGACCCAGTCAACCGCCCCGGAGGTCCTCGACCATTCACCGTGTCAACACAAGGACTGGTTCGATGATGATGATGATGATGATGATGATGATGATGATGACGACGACGACGACGACGACGACGACGACGACGACGACGACGACGACGACGCCGCCGCCGCCGCCATCAACAATCTGCTCCTCCAGAAGAACCGTCTTCACAAGGCCTACGTGAACCGCGTACCCGCCGACAACAAAGCAGCATTCTACCACATTCGCCGCCCTCTGCGACAGCGGCTGCGGGCAATGCAGGAGGCCTGGATGGCTCGCAAGGCCGAGGAGATCCAATGGCACGTGAGTACGTGCTGCGATCAAGGCTGTCTACGATCCCACAGTCAAAGCAACTGCTCCTCTTCTCAGAACCGACGGGACCACCCTACTCACTGAGAAGATGCACTCTGAAACAATGGGCCGAGGACTTCAGAAGCGTCCTCAACCGTCCCTCTACCATCTTCGACGCTGCTATCACTCGTCTGCCTCAAGCGTAAACCAATACCGATCCCGACCTCCCGCCCTATGTACACGAAACCATCAGGGCCGTGCAGAAGCTCTCCAGCGGGAAAGCGCCCTGATCGGACGTGATCAATGCTGAGATATACAAACACGGTGACCCCCGACTTATGGAGCACCAGACGGCGCTCTTCCAGGCGATGTGGCGTCAAAGGGAAATCCCTCGAGATTTCAAGGACGCCATAACCGCCCATCTCTACAAGCGAAAAGGCAACCGTCACCTCTGCGACAGCCACAGAGGTATCTCCCACCTCAACATCGCCGGAAAGATTTTCGCTCTCATCCTTCTCAACTGTCTCAACAACCATCTGGAGCAGTTTCTCCTGCCGGAAAGCCAGTGCGGCTTCCATCGTAACCGCGGAACCAGCGACATTATCTCCACCGCTCGCCAGCTGCAAGAAGTGTCGGGGGATGCGGATCCACCTCTGCACTTCCTTCGTGGATCTGACGGAAGCCTTCGATACGGTGAATCGCGATGGACTGGAAAATCATAAAAGAATTCCAGCTGTCCCGAACGATTCACTCAGATGGGGCGCCAGCTCCCCGATAGCATGATGGCGCGCGTCACGGACAATGGCACTGTCTCAAAGGCATGCGCGGTGACCAACAGAGTGAAACAGGGCTGCGTCCTCACGCCTACCCTCTTTAGTCTCAAGTTCTCTGCCATGTTAATGGACGCCTACCGTGGCGAACGCTCCGGGATCCGCGTCGCCTACAGGATGGACGGCCAACTCTTCAACCATCGGCGGATGCACTTCCAGTCGCGCGTATTCACAACTACCGTCTACGAACTTTTCGTCGACGACTGCGCCCTCAACAACACTACTGACGGGGGCATGCAAAGGAACATGGACCCCCTTCGACGACGACTGCGACGTAGGCCTGGTCATCAACACAGAAGACAGTGGTTATGCACCTACCGCTACCCAGCGTTACCTACAATGTACCCCAAATCAGCGTGAGCGGTCCCCAGCCGTGGACAACTTCGCTCATCTGGGCAGCACTCTACCTCGCAACACCAAAATCGACGATGAAGTGACCCACCGGATTACCAAGGCCAGCCAAGCCTTCGGCCGCCGGCAAAACACTGTCTGGAATCGACACGGTGTCCACCTCGATACGAAACTCAAGATGTACAAAGTAGTCATCCTGTCGACGCTGCTATATGGAGCGGGGACCTGGACGATGAACAAAAAGCAAGCGCGGAGGCTCAACCACTTCCACCTGAGCTGTTTTCAGCAGATACTAAAGCTGAGGCGGCAGGGCCAGACACAGACCTACTGAAACGGATGGGGATCCTCGGCACCTACGCCATGATGTGACAATTGCAACTGCACTGGAGCGGTCACCTCATGTGGATGGACAAGGAGCGGCTACCCAAACGATTCTTCTACGGAGATGTCGCCACGGGTTGCGGCCGACAAGGGAGTTAAGTCCGGTGCTACAAGGGCACCCTGATGTCTTACTTGAAGCTCCTGCAAATCAACCCCGGCCAACCGGGAAGGCTTTGCCTGGAACCAACCGACCTGGAGAACAGTGAAGACAGGCTCAGCAAACTACTAAACCAATCGCGTTCACGACGCCAAAACCAAAAACGAAGCCTGCAAACCACAACTCCCCCCATCTCCCAACGCCAACGCTCAATCGCTCCCAACGTGCCCACAATGCCAGGGGACGTTCTGGGCACCAATTAGCCTTACTGGGCACCTCCGGACCAACTGTAGCACTCGAGCGACACAACCCAGTGTCTCTGCGTTCACCTCTGCCTCGCCCCTCACGCCGACAACACTAACCGCTCTCCAGGACCCCCACTGCCATCCTCCATCGCCTCAACATCTGCTGCGACGGCTCCTGCATCCCCTTCCACTTAACCACTGAACACAACCCTGACACATCGACAAACATCATCCTAATCGTCGCCAACACCAATGATGTGGACTCGGTCCAAACCTGTCCTCATTGTCATCGCATCTTCACCTCACACATCGGCCTGGTCGGTCACTTACGAATCCATCGCGCAGAGACTAGCGAACCAGTGCCAGGAGCACTAACATACACCAGACGCATCCGCCTCAACTGCCTGCACTGCCCTCACACAGCCACCGCATGGGCCTGTTAGGTCGCATGCACACTCACGAGAACCTGTGGTAGACAACCGCCGGCTACACCACGCCATCAGATCTTCTCACACCAATCCCTGCATCACACAACACCATCTACCACAAGCATCCAATTGGCCCCTCCCACGCAAGTGGGAAGTGTGCTTCTCGGCTAGTTCTCCATGCGGCTCCTCTACTGTATGTGTGATCCGAGTCTGAGACTACCACGGTGCGCCAAGCGCCGTGGCTTGGAAGGCTGCCGACTGACGCTCCAACTCAGTCCAAGCAGTCTGCCCAAGTATTTGGTTGTGTGGACTGGCGAACTGATAGGCTGAGAGCCGAACTGTAACGGCTCCTTCTTGACGTGACCAATGGCAGTCTAACGCATGTGAAATGAATGCCCCTCAACCCTCTTGTGCGAAATCCTGGTGCTTGTTTTGGGGGGGGCGTGCGTTGACAACGTCACTAGATACATCAGCCACTGCGCCCAATCCCCGAACCTGTCAACTGACCGGTTCTGACAGTGGCTGGGACCTAGTAATGGGAGATGAGGAAGAGGTCGACGACTCAGCGCACTTTTCTCACTATAAAAATCTGACGCGCTTGAAGCCATCACGGCGCGCTAAGAGCCGTAACTTATGCCAACTGACGGGAGAGCTTGGACCTCGCAGTCGGCCCAGTGTTGCGTGTTTGTGTGGAGCAGCCGACCGGTGAGTCGGGCTGCAATGGCTCCTTCTTAATGTGGCCTTTAGGGCACTCCCACTCCGTTGGATCCGAGCCGGGTGTGATAGCACGCCTAGTGGCGCACCAGCCACCTGCGCCATCTCCCACTCCCGGTCTTCTTGAGTATGGCTTGGCATGAGGCCTAGGTGGGGGAGGAGAGAGGGCGGTATATGCTGCGCAAGTCTACTAACACTATAAAAGAAATCACGCGCAAGTCACTGTGCCTGTTGCTTCTTGCCATAGAGCACACGGTGGACATCGTCGGTAACGACGCTCGAACAGCCGTCACATGCTAGCAAACTCGGCATAAGGATGCAGCAAAACTCGATGGACCTAAACTGAGCCACCAGGTTCTAACGAATTTCACGTCCATGTGGTTCATTCAAATGCGAGAACGTGCAAAGAAGCTAGAGGATCCAAACTTCACCTGAATACGTAAAACTTCCACAAAGTTGGTTCCATAGGCGCGTTTAGTGAGATCGGTCAAGTTAAGTTGGAGATGATTCCACCCCTCCTCTAACCGCATAGGCATGGTGCATATGAATGGCTTTACGCGAGTTGTGCTTTGGTAGTTGCTGGCGCGAAAGCGTCGACGGATTCCCTTGTCATCCTGTATCTGAAGGTCAATAGTTTGTTAGAGCAAGATAGGAATAATTCGCTTACCTGGACTTCAAATGAGAAGTACTTGTTCAAATTTTTGACGATTAGCACTAGAAATGGCAGTTTTATGCCCAGAGCTTTGGATGGATCTGCAGGGCAGCTGATGAAGGTAGTGCTAGAGGCAGGCTGCATACTAAGGAGACTGGACGGACCTTATGTTATTGCCCACAACCTCAAGGACGAGCGATTGTATATCGTTGTCAGTAATGCGCTTTATGTGCCCATTCTTAGCCTAAGGGGAAAAAGATGGAATAAGAGGAGTATCGAAGACGAAAAAGGAAGCGTATTTCGGACGAAACTCGGCACAAAAGAAAACGTGGGGCTAGTTCAGTAGGAACAGACTTACGTTCTTCTATGTTCGAAATCTGGACTCACTGGAACGTGTCGAGGTCAGTGGTTTAAATACGTTACTTTTATCACAAAAACGTTTCAGTGTTATGGTTAGTAGTCCCATAAAAGAAACGAGAAATTCGCGTGGTTCTCGGACTGTATGGCGGTGATCAGATTGTGAAGCAGTTAGGAACGTGGTTGTATCAAGCCAAGAAGTGCTGGAAATGATTATGAATGGAGTCAAATGATTATCATGGAATTCCTACTACAAAATTACTGTGGGTAAAAAAATTCTTCGCTATAGTACTCAAACTATAACTGCTCAATCAGCAGGTCACTTCGGACTCCAGTAACAATCTCGCCTTCACGTGTGACGTTGTTGTTAGAATTGACGCTGTAACTTACTGCCTCGGTGTGGGTATAGGCAAATTTAAAGCATAAACAGACGTCATAATCGTCGTCGTTAGGTTTATGGCGTGCGGAAGTCGATACTTGGGCTGAAGTCAGGCAATATAAAGGTTTAAAAAACTGCATAGTAATAGAATCCCGGAGTGCTTACAACAAATATACGCAACTGACCTAGAAAGCATATCACCCGAAAAATCTTACTGTACTTGTACTTAATAGAATTGTGAAGATAGCCGATCTAACCAGCCCCGATGATGTCGCGAAATGCGCCTCTCCAAGTGTGGCGATCTGCGTCAACGATCTTGAGAGCTCGACCGATCCCTCCAGCGACGGAGACCGAATACCGAGGGTACAAGAAAAAAGTCTATGCCTTGAGGGACTATGTCAATACTGGTTCGGGTTGATCCATTTGACGCCTACAGATTGGCATCAGCGCCGGATCGCGAGGGCAACGGACGACGACGGGCGTGTCAAAACTACTCCTCTGGTTTCTTGAACGGCCTGAGATACTCTTCCCATATTGTTGTAGTGATTTCGGACTCTCATTCGAAATACCCGGCGTAATTCACTCCGAGGAGACGGATTCCCTCGTTAGCCTATATGCTAGCTACACGACGCGTCCAAAGGTGGGACCTAATGGAACGGCCTTCGGTAAAGGTTAGTTACGTCAGGCTGTCGGGCCTGACGTATAAGCAGTTGTAGACCAGCGGCTACAGCGCCACTAGGGCGTGGAGGGTCATCTGGCACGCCGAATGTTTTATAAAATACCACGAAATTCGATGTCGTGCTGTGACATGGCGACCGTGAACCGCCATCAAGTAAGTTCGCTTGTCATTGCTGGCATGTGGTTTTCGTCGGGATCCGAATTACTAGAGGCAACGACTTCGGACAAAGAATTTAAGTGGTTCTTGTGGAGTCGCGTGTATTCCAGATTTCTAAGAAATCTCATAACAATCCCCGTATCCAATATCGATTATCAGAAACAGTCTTTCGAATTTGCTTTTATAAAGGCCGTGCGAAGATGAGTAAACAAGAAAATAGGAATGCGGAACCTCGTCTGAACGCCGACTCAAATCCGGTGTGCCTGGGTCTGAGATTTGGAATGCCACGACATTCTTTCCAGTTCTTTGAATGGCAACTAGGACTGCTGCTTCATTTATCTTCACTTTATAGGATAACGGCATTAAAAGTGATGTTGTCCATTCAAATCGATCGATGGTAGACCTCTGAAAGGATTTAAAGCGATTGGCAAACCAGTGAACCACTAACAGCAGGACCGCGGGTGTACTTTGAGTCCGTTTACCAATGTTAATTTCTGTCTTCTGTATGTTATTCACATACGCTGGTTAATGGGCGATGGCGTCACGACAAACGAAATCTCAGACAATTCAAACTGTAGGTAGCTGGAATCCGTGGAAAAGCCATCTCGGTCGGTGAATAAGGATGACGCAGTTAACCAGTCAAGTTTTTAACTGACCGTGTATTCGTACGTTAGAGAGGGGGCGGGGTATAAATTAAGAAACAGAATACTAGTCAAAGCCCTCCAACGCTTACCGCAGGAAGGACATCCTCTGGGAGCGTGACCCATATCGAACGGTCGAGAGAAGCATTCACAGGAACGCACGGTACACTGAGGCGATTGCAGAAAGCAAAGTGCCTGTCTTGATGCGTCAGGTGTGGTCTTTTTATGTGAATGTGCACCAATTCCACTAATTTCACGTGATTAGGACGTCTACAAGCGCCCCCCGTTGACCTGCTGCTCCAGTTCGTATTTTTGCGGTCGCAGAAACTCTAACCCGCGTTGAGTGAAACTTGTAACTAGCTTAGGATTATCATAGCCTGTCGTAACTGGGTAAATATTACCGACGACGACATGCGAGACGATTGTCGTCGCTTTGGAGGAAATTATTTTAGTCCACTATGGCTGTCTTTGACTCACTTGGGAAATCAGAATGACGGCATGCTGCATGCTGCATGTTTGGAGCAGCACAATCTTATCGCCGTAGTTAAGATCCCTGATCTACAGAGGACAGCCCGCCACAAAATCCGGGTGATCTGTCTGGGGGGGTGTAGTCTGCCCGTAGAGTGTAATAAAGCTAATGCCATCTCCGAAGTCGGCTGTCAACGACACCGAGTCGTATCTTCTATAAGTTAGTCATAGTCAGCAAATGATAGAAAATGGCTTGTATTAAGGGTCGAAATTTCAGATGTCTGCCCTCAGATCCCTGGTGGTTGAATTGAACTGTACACAGCGAACTGCATACCGCTTACCATCTGTTCGAATTGTACGGTCAATGTGGCAAACAGGTATTGCAAAAAGACTTTGCACGAGAAACTTTTCCACAACACAAACGACAGATGCAATACTAAAAAGCCCTTCAGTGGCGGAAGCTTGTGGAGTTACTATCTTAGTACGGAAAGTTTTATGAAAAGTGGAAGTGCCCCAGCGTTAAAACACTACAGCGAGGCAAATACTATGATATCGCATGCTTACAGTCTTGTCCCATATCTGCAAAGGCTTGGAGCCCATACTAAACAGCATAGAGAGGAAGCCACTCTGAAAGGTGTTCCTGAACATCCGCGCACAGTTAGCAGTCCCAACTTTATATACTTTGAAAACCCCGCGGGCGATGGTTATTGGCCAATGATCTCCACAGTTAATTGGTACGTTATTTGTAGGCGGATCTTTAAAAACTCGTGTGCGGTGTCACAGGAGCAGCTTTACCGGAGCATATTCGAGTCTTTCGCTGAATAAGAATATGTAATTAGGCGATCAAGTTGAGACAATGGATGTTTTGTGTTTTTTTTAACTTCGGTGAGCCAGATAATTGGAAGTTTGCGGTTGCAAATAGGTATGCATACTTGTTTTGTGACCAAGCGGTTTAAGTGTGTAGTCTGTGTGCTGAAATCGTCAAGTCAAATCCTATGTTGGAAGGACAAGTCGGAAGGAAACAGAATGAGGGGTTCAATGTATACAGCATCCGGAATTGTCATCTCAGGCGACAACGATCACCGGCGGGGCCAGGGCTGGTGTTGACTGCATCCAGTTATACCTGAGAATCCTTAGGACAGTGGTGGCAGTCGTTTCTTAAGGCTCGTGGGCCCAGCTCGAGTGGTGTCTCGTGAGTGTGTGTTACATTTGCCAAGTGGTTGGGTCCCAATGGCGAAGGTTGCATGGAGGAGGGGCGTTCAAGTGGCCTAATTGGCAGCTGCGGTTATGCCCGAGCTGTTGGTCGTGTGGCTTCAGGTCAACGCGTTTGAAATGACTCGCTGAAAAGGGCGAATGGCCTTGAGTTGGCGATTTCTTGACAAATGACTTCAGACTGGTCATGCTGGCTGCTCGCTAGAGTCGCAACCGCAAAACATAGCTCAAAACCATGACTCAATTTGGTTACAACGCCCTTTTTAGCTTACTTGGTCAAAATGAGGACTCTTAAATAGTTATGTCCTCCGAGATTGAACGCGACCACGAATATGTGTCCGTGGAGAAAATGTTTGAAGCGCAAAGTATCCCAGGACCTCACTTGACGCGTTTTCGCGCCTTGTACTGATCATTGCGAGGGCGCATGAAATAAATTCGTTAGGGTATTTCTCTACAGTGAAAAAAACAAACAAGGCCTATCTGCAATGTTTGGTATAATGATGCAGAATTGCGCATTTCACTGTCATTTCATGTGTGTACTATCGCTTCCTAAGATCCCTCATCAAAAATGTTAATTTTTCCGATTTTTCTATTCATGCATCGTGCCCCTCACAGAATGAGCTCTATCGATACTCTTCGCGAACCCTTCTGTATTCGCCATATACTAGTCGTCTGGTCGCAT